TCTTCCCTGCCTCAAAATCATTTTCTTCTGGGGAATACTCTCACAAACCTGTGATTAAATGCACTCTACTGCCTAGTTATGATGATGTTCACAAGTAACACTGGCTGTAGGAGCAAGACAAAATCTGTGGTCCACCAAAAAGTTCAGTTGCTGTCGATTCCTCAGAGGCAGTGAACTCAGATATTAGCAAACATTTCCAAAGGTCACTAAGGTACTACAAAAAATGCTCAGAAGGTGAAGACTGAAGACTATTTCTTTTTGAACAGCTTATTTTTTTTAAAACATTTTAGAACTTGCCTGGTTTTCTGTACTTATTTCTCCAATTGTGCACTATTCTGACTTTACCTGAGGCATAAAACTACATATATGTACAGTCAACTCCCTTCCCATACCTTTCGTTTTTTAACATATTATCTGAAGTATTGTTAAATGATTTGAGAGGTAATATGTTGATTTGTACTGGGTTTTTTTTCTGCTGTGTTACATGAAAACCTGATTATCTATAGCCATCAGTTCCACTACTAGGGCCTTGGAGTATGATTAGCCTTTAAATTTTAGTAGGGTAAGCTACTTGCAAATAAGCTCTTGAATTTACACTACTACCTTGGATATGACTAAGTAGAAGAATGAATTGCCTTGAATCACAGAATGCCTTTGTTGTCAGATCCCAAGCCAAGCAGTGGGCTCTGTTACTTTTAGGGGACATTAGACTTTCAGGGACATTAATTAGGTCATACTTACATAGATAGTAGCACCAAATAAAACTGAAATAGAAAAAAACAGAGGGTGGACAAAATCTGAGCAGTCAGAAACATCAAATTACTTCTCCCTGCCTATTCACAGCTTTTTCGTGACCCCACTGAAGTCAATGGGAGCTTTGCCAATTAATTTCAATAGGAGGAGAATCTGGGTTGGCTTGAGGTTTCCTGATTCTGCCCACAGCAACACAGATGCATTCCAGACCACTCTCAGGAAGGGGGGGGGAAAAACAGGGCAAATTCACAGTAACTGTGGCAATAGGAGGGACGGTTCTCTTTGGTATCATGCAATTTTGAAATTCAGTAGCTGCTTTGTGCCATGACATGTGTTCTCCCCTCTGTCAAATTAATGTTTTCTTCCCATGCAGAAGGCCCATCAGGGAAAGAGCACAGATGAAAATCATCAACACAAACGGCCCCCAGAAGCCTTTTCACATTTCCCACCTCACATCTGTCATAATGGCAAAATCATGTTTGCAAACAACATGAAAAAAACTGCCTTAAACATGGTAATTCCCCGAAACACAGAGAATTAATGCAGCCTCTTCTGTGAATGTCTCTCAATCCGTGTGAGTGATCACTGGTAAAAAACTACCTTAGCAGAATGCCAAGACCTCTGCTATGGGGAGCAACAGCTAAAGGATGCACAGATTGTCTGACTCTGGCTGCAATTATCTTCCTTTCTTACCCTTTTTTTTCACTAAGATCCTCACTGTTGTAGTCCTTGGACTTGATCATTTCATTAGGACTGTAAACACAGAATGAGACTTAGGGCAAGGTTTGACAGCTTCAGGAAAGCAGCAGAATATAAAAAAGATAATCAATGATGCCCTAAGGACTGTCATAGGCAGTCAAACCTAAAAGGGATGCAAGTGAATTTCTCTTCCACCTTGTGTTCTCTGTTTTACAGGAGGCAGTTTCCATGCTGACAAGCAGGCAGCACTCTCTACAAAGTAAGAAGACAGCAAAACCTGCCTCTGCAGCTGCCAAGGACAGAGAAGAGACTGGAAACATATGTTCTCTGTGTTTGGGATGCTTCAGTTTAGGTAGACTACCTGGGTCAGGGCCCAGATGGTGTAAACTGCTGAATCTCAGAGCTTAGGTTAGCTGAGACTCTGGTTTAATAAGTATATTTTAATTAAACTTCTGAACTATTCTGATATTCCTTATTAACTCCCCACAGAGCCTCCAAACAACCTCTGGGGGAAAACCAAAGAAGCAAAAACTGATGTGACTTCTTCAAAGTAACCGTGTGAGTCACTGCCAGAGGTCAGGCAGGAGCACCTCTCCTGAGCATCAGTACAACATAACTGATGCAAAGACCACCTCAGAAGTTTACTGAGCTAAGGCAGCAGCTTAAGGAGGCCTGAACTGCCCTGTGCATTTCAGAGAATTGTTATCTGAAAGTCTCAGGGCTGATACCTTAAAAGTCAACATTAATTAATCACTGAACGAAGTGTGCTGGAAAGGGGCAGAAACGTTCCTCTGTGCAGTTCAGGATGTTGTACCAGAGACAGAAAGCGGTGAGCTTCGAAGAGCACTTGAACGAAAAGCACACTGAAGGTGCATATGAGGCAACTGAGACAAAAAGACAAGGAAGCTATTGGAATCTTGGTGATGCAATCTTGGACTGCTAGTAGGTGGGATTCAAATGTCTTGGGAGCACTCAAGCCAAAGGGATTCCTGAGGGAATTTACAACTGTGCCATCTGTCCCTTACGGTTGGAGCTCATTTTGTAGATGGCTTTTGGAAGAGAATTAATACCATGTTTCTCCCTCAGATTAACCCTACCAGTGATTGACTGCTGGCATGAATGCCAAAACATTCAACACAGTAGCTAACACACCAGGCAAACCCACCCCAAAGAAAACACCCTGTCACTTACTCACAGCACCTTTTCTGTGGTATTATCTTAAGCTGAAGCCATGAAGGAAAGGGTCTCTATTTCTCAGTTTTTCTGACTCAGTGTTCTTTCAACCCAATTTCTAGCAGATCTATCAAGCCCCAAGAGCAGTACAGCTGCAATGTGACTCAGCTTCAGGACAGTAGACAGGCCTTGTCAGAGCTGGTTAGTAAACTGGTCTGCAGAACCTGAGTGGGTTGAGATGGTTCACAGACACCCTTTACTTACATAGTCAGAAAAGCCTGTGGTGGGGAGACCAAGATACAGCACTGGATAGTACACCAAGGCTAGAAGAAGGATTAATTTGGTATTCAAAGATACAGGCCACAGGCACTAAGAATGGTGCCTGCTGTAAATGGGGCACATATATCAGAGGAATAGGCAAATAAACTTCACAGTGACCTGCTTGCTTGGTCTCTGCCATTCTCTTGTGCTGAAATTTTTGTTAGCATGACCACTGTCCCCAGAACATGGCCAAAATCAGTCCACAGCCTTCCTTTGTATCCTGTACAAAGGTGTAATTCTACTGTTTAGTGCTGGGCACTGCAGACTGCAGATGTTTGTTTCCAAGCCTGGTCTGCATGTAATAAAAATGGATAACGTACCCCAAAGCCACAATGTCACAGAGAATGTGACAAGGGTCTTGTCAACAACCACTGCCCTTAGACCTGACACATGGAATCAATGGCATTGTAGACATTGCACTCATTAGTAGCTTGGAAAAGAAAGGGCTAACAAGTTTGCTAATAATAGTAGGTAATTCTATAATTAACAGCCAACTATGAAAAATTCTAGACAACTAGTAAGATGAAAGGGGACTAATTTTTATCAATCATGTCTTAAAAGCCTCACTTTATTAAACTGAACAGGAAGAACTGAAAGCAAGCTGGAGATGCACTATCTTTCAGTTCTTAATATCACCAACCAAAAAAGGAGCTTGTTAGCTTAACTATGGATTGACTGCACTCAACAGCACATGCAATGAATCTACATCTTACATATTCATGTATTGTACACCACAGAGCAGCAAATTTTGGCTATGAATAATAAATTCATTTCCAAATGATTACTGAGGTTAAATTGTGAAAGTAAGCTATATGACCTATGAAGACAGCAGCATAAAATCTGATTTGGGGAAAGTCTGAGTGAGTTACTACAGTGACTCCTGCAAGTCCAGATACCTAAGTATCATGGGTATAACCTGATATTAATGACCTCACTTTTTTTTTTCTAAAAGAACTCAAGTGTTCTGACAGTGATAGTGCTCATTCCCCAAAAGGTTATTAACATCTGATAAAAATCTTGCTAAAGTAAGAAAAGCACAACTTTCCCATGTCCAATCTTCTTATTACTAGCATATATGTTTCTGATTGGATCATCCCATGGATTTTGGTTGTTTGGTAGGAAGGATGATCTCCAGGGAAGTGTTTCATGTCTTCTCTTCCAAAATCAAACTAAGAAAATGCACATTCCTGCAATGAAAGCTAAGAGTAGAGCCAGTGTCCATTAACTGTGTAAAGGTTCCAAGTCTGACATTTCCCCAAGTGCACAACCAGCAATGATAACTGCTAATTGTTTCTGAAGTGTTATGGAGCCTGTACTGGTAAAAGAGCAGGTGGAAGGAGAAGATTCAATAAAGGTAACTCAATGAAGAAAGCACTGCTTTCTCCAAGCCCTTCTGTCTTCAGGATTCCTAATAAGAAGAGACTGTTGGTGAATTTTCACTTCATACAAACATTTTGTCAACTCCAGAACAGAAGAATAACACCCTTACATGTCTGAGAGCTTAAATCCAGCCTGGAAAAAGGAAACACAAATCCACTGATTTCAATGGAGTTACAGATGGCCCACTTAATGTACAACAGGGTTGATTAGGCTCTTCTCCCACACTGTAGCACTGTTTTGCCCAAGAAACCTTTGCTTTCTAAGTACCAGCCATTTGTAAACAGCCTGTAACACTGAACTGCAATTAAATAAATGAATAGGAAACACACGTATATTTTAAAACTTTTCTCAGTAGTGGAAGAGCAAGTATTGACCAAGTATTGACCAAGTATTTTTTCTGTTTAATATCAAGATCTTATGTCAATATCACAGGCAAAACACCAAGGATCTGCAGAATATCAGTTATTGCACACATATTTCTGCTTCCCACAGTTTCCTGTGGGCATTAAACTGGAATCATGTATAAGCACAGTGCATGTCTCAGGAAGAACTTGTTCTTCCTTTTAAGCCATCTCAGCACTACAGCAGGTGGGCACAGGCTCTCTTGCTAAAAGCACAGAGAGAGAGAGAGAGAGAGAAAGAGAATGAGAAAGAGAGAGAAGAAAGTTGCTTACTGTTTCGAGGTTTCTCCTCATCCATGCCTTCATCTTCATTTTCTGGATCAATATCTTCTGCTTGAGTTATCCAGTCCAAGTATCCCTTCAAATCCTCCTCTAGCTGTTGTTTTTCCCGTAACTTCTGGAAATCGCCTCGAGCCTTAGCCTTCTCTCTTTCTTTGGAAAACTCCCTAGCAAGAGGGAGGGAGGGACAGGACATGGGTGGAGGGAAGGAAGACATGGAAAAACAATGGGTTAGATTGGTTTCCACTAGAAAGTCTCCTCAGCCTGTGCAGCACACCCAGCTTTCTCTACTCTTTCAAGACAGACACATGAATGAACCATCCCTTCTAGATACACATGTAAAACAGTTGGAGTGTCCACATTTCTACCAATACTCAGGAAAAGATTAATACCTGTTTTTAATCCTTTAATTCTCAACATTTGACTGACTATTCAAATAAAACACATATGTAACATTTCTGTGCAATTTTCTGTACAATGCCATACACTTTCTAATATTCTTTACCACTTGATATTCTCTAACAGTTATCCACAAATATCTATATGAATAATGGTTAATGATGAACTGTTTGACAATAATCTGACATCTGGAGAGTGAGATGGTGGCTCTAATTTTTAGCCAGGTTTCAATCTGTCTTTAAGATTATATATCACAACTAAATTGGTTTAAGTGTAATTAATGGTACTCACAATTTTGTACACATTTAATTATGGTCAATTTCACCCACAGTACTGGAAAGTATATTTAAAAACTCAGATCTCAATGTTTTACTGCAGACTTTCGGTTTTCAAGCCTGTTATCCGACATGAAATGTATTTTTCAAATACAAGTTGGGTGAAGAAACATGATAAATTATGGATAGAAAAAAACTAATAGATTCTGCCAGAAAGTGAAAAGGGTAGACATTTGATGACAGTTTTATGAGAGAACCCTATTGAGAATATAGACTGAAAACAGAAGGCTTAAGAACAAGAATTTCATGTTGCTTAGTTATGATCCTAAATGCTTTGCCTTGGTTTTGGCTGTGGTTCTGTCTTCCCCTCTTTCAGAGACACCTATACAGCAAGATTTTTTTTTCAAGAAATGCTGACCTACCCCTATTTAGAGACTCCCATGTGGTTCTAAACCAGGTTTTAGCACTTGTATTTCAAAAAGTAAGCTTAATGATTGTGAAAATTGCTGGACCAAGAGTACCTAAGCATTAAGTCTTATATCTGCTGAAGCAGATCACTACATAAGACACACACAGCAGATAATACAGTCCATTCTGTAATGGTAAAGTCATTCTTTCCAATTCATTCTCCATTGCTGTTGCTAATGAATGTCAACAATGAGTGGATTTTAAAAAATCCTACTCCACCTAGGATTTGTCTTAAGTTTGCTTCTGCAAAAATAAATAGGAAACCTAACACTAATATTGGTGGCATAATATTAGGATTATGAAAATCCTACCCAAAATGTTAATGAATGCCATGTGACTGCTCCTTAGGTAACTGAGATGGAGGTTGGTTTCTAACAGTGATGGTGATGTAATTTCCTCCTGTCTGGTCCAAATCTCACTGAAAGGTTTCCATGGACTTCAACAGGTTTGGGATCAGGCTTTCAATAAAATGAGCTGTGCAAAAACCAGCACTGCAGCAGAACCAAAGTAGGATGATCCCTGAATTTCAAGCCAAAGTATTTGACAAAGCAAGTGCTTTGGTCACATTACTGAGGGTATAGCCCCTCCCTTGGGACTGTGATAAGGAAGGTGGAAATGAGTAAGAGAAACACTGGCATCTCTGGCCTGAAGGTAGATCACAGTCAACCCTGGCTCCAAACTCAGCCTCAAGGCATGGAAAAAATGAAAAATGAAATTTTCTCATACTGGGAGTGATATTTTGCTATTTACAATGTAAAACAAATAAACAACCCCCCAAGAGTAATAATAAAAACTGTAGAAAGAATTTTCAAAAAAATCAATCAATAGTAGTTATATTTTCTGCTTCAATAACACCTTTCCACTGGGTCTGATACAGTGCCTTATCCAAAATAATGAATTAACTCAGAAAAAAAAATGACTGAATGAATCTATGTATTATTAAGCCCTTTTGATAAATCAAATTTCAATTGTTAGCTCCTAAACTGTTATTTTAGAATCTAAACCAAATGGGTCCAATTTTTAAATGGACTGAGCCCTGAACTCCAGGTGAGAACTATTTATATTTGTATGGATTTAAACTGAAAGGGGCTGTTTTAGAAACCAAAGTGGCAAAAATTACAAAACAGCCCAGCTTACAGAAGTGAAATTCCTACTGTGCACTGAAGTGGATCATTTATGTTCAATGTTTCTAAGCTGCATGTCTATTTGGGTCCTTTCAGTCCACACTTACTGTCTCTCTCAACAGGGCTGTGGGGGAGAGCTAACTGAAGCAACGTGAGATTTTAACAGGATGTCTTTACACTGACCATCAGCAGAGGAGTGAATTTTACCTACAGTTTTATAGCACAGTGGGAAATACTGTGATTGCCTCATCTAAACAACCTGCAATTGCATGTCTCCTTCCTTTGTACAGCGTATGACAACTGCACATCTCAAACAACTCTCCAAAGAAGACAACCTATTTAAATTGTCTTAATTTCTGTGCTCTACTAACATTAGACCACTGGGAACAGGCAGCTCAGGAAATTGCTGCTGCAATTCAAATCACCTCCCATGTGGAATGCCATCCTGTACTTGGGCAAATGTAGTTCACCGTCGAGAATTACTACGGATGATCATTTACCATCCCACGTGAAATGAGCTGGTGACCTCGGCCCGGTGCCTATTGCAGGCAGGTGGGCACATTTCTTCTGCCACCATCACAGCTCACAATAAAGGCTCATTGTTTGCAGTTTCAGCAGGGAGGCCAAGGACCAAATGAGCTTTCTGATGGAAGTGCCATCTTGAGCCTGGAGGTGGTCTACTCCAAAAAGACTGCACTGTCGTGTCAGGATAAGGTTAACAAAGGCTTGCAGAACTATCAAGCAACCTGTCCATTTTCAGTGAGCCCAAGGACATCAGTATAAGAGTTGGTGAATCTGTTTGTTTTTATGAGAATTCAGTTTCCTTCACTTTCTTTTACTTCTCACAGAAAATTATAAGATTTGTCTGCCAATGGGAATACGAAATAGCAGAGTACTCTGGAGAGATGTTTTCTGTCTTTGAGGCTACAGTGGGTCAAAATCATAAATATAAACACCCAGCTCTGCATCCTGTGCTGTATCAGAAGGAAACTTCTCTTTGCCACCCTGATGATGGAATATAGGTAATTCTTGTCTATATCTGATCTCAAGATGACTTCTCACATGTAGAGGAAACGGAAAGTGAGAAAACCAGCAGAATTCTAGCAGTTCAAAGCTCTTGCTTACTACTAGAAGTGGAGCACAAGGTTTCAAATTTCATCCATCCTAAGAAGTACACCAAGGAATGGGAAGAGTTGGAAGAGGGGACAGAAGACCAGAAAAAATTCCTGAAAGGTCAAAAAAACTGCTCAGGGAGGAGTTACAACCATAGCCAGCCTCCCATCCACTCTGACCTCTTTCTCAGCAGTAAAAGCATCACAAGCAGCCAACTGGGTTTTGCAGGATCCTCTCAAGGCAGAGAAAAAGGCTGTTTCTCCTGCCCTCCATTTGCCTTAGGCAACTGCTTGTTTGGCCTGTGTCCTGGGATTTGGTTCACTGTTAGGCAAAATATAAAGGAAATGTGAATCTCTATGCTTCAGCGTGCACATCTGAAGGTTGAACCCACGCTGCAATTTTTTTTCCTCGCTAATTAACTGAAACAGGTAACACAGATGTGAACATCTCTGATCTCAAGCAAATTCTAATCACTGCTCACAGCAATGATGTGGAATTGTGGGCTTGTGGAGGTCTACTGTGTGATCTGCTGACTGGATATTTCCTCTGGAATACATGAATTTTATATTGTGCTCAGTCAAGGCAGGAAGAGATTACAACTCTATATATAAATACTCTGACATGCTATTCAGCTTAGCATGAGACTACTAAATTCACCAGAAGGACCATGAATGGTTGACATACCTGAGTAAAAACAAATTACAGATGAGCTCTTTAGGCAGAGCAGAACTCAGCATTTGATTTTGCAGGTGCAATCAAGATGTCTTTGTGAGTACAATTAATTACACTTATGTATTCAGAAGTGATTAAAAAAACCCCTAAGCTAATCTGTCATTGACAAAGTCTACCTACACAACATGCTTGCTCAAGTTCCTGAAATAGATAAATGGGAAGAAATCAGAGATGCCCAGAACGGATATTCAAAGATAACCAGGAATGCTGCTTTGTATCTACGTAGAACAGGCAGGTGGATCATCTACATAGATCAGATTAATAGCAATACTCTAAGTAAAAAAAAAAAAAGCTGAATCTGCAAAGTGAAGACACTTTGTAACTCAGCAGAATTCAGAACTGCTTTAGAAAGTTAATTGTTTAAGAACTGCTTATTTAGCCCAAAGAAAATTTGGAACATTTCTCCCATAATTTCTGTGTTTTTTCATGGTTGCAAATTCTTAAGTTTCTTTTTACTTTTCTCCAGTTGGGGAAATTTTTGCAGAAACAGTGCAGCTGTCATAACACTGTGAAGACAGCCAGAAAGAGTGACTCACAGCTTAAACAAGGTGAACTTCATCTTCAATTTCAGTTCCCTCTATAGACTGTTTCTATCTCTTACCACTAACTGTGGTGTTCTAGCTGCAGTATGTCAGGAGGCAGAAGATTTAGGCCCCAAAACACTTTCTTGAGTTGACAATAAAAGAAAGAGGAAATTCAATTTTTAATTATATACAGATAAAAATCCAAGTATAGGTAAATTGAATCAGCAGTGCTTCAATAGTATGCACTCCTCATGGCTGGGCTCACAGGCACCGTTTATCCAATTAGACACCATATAATCTTTAACAACTCTCCTATATGTTCCTTGAGTGCACCTCTGAGAGAACAGATCACTTCCCCTCTGTCAGCTGGTCATCCTCCTCCACTACTGCTGATATCCTTACCTGCTGGTCAGAGTATCCACCTGGAGAAATGAGGAGCACATGATTTAAAATTGTACCCAGAGTATCACTCTCCAGATATCCAAACACAGACTATTGCCTGACACTTCATTACTGGGGATTTTTTTTTCCCCACTCCCATTACTGCTTGGAAACCCCTCTTTTTGCAGCAGCTGTCTTAGCAGCACATCTCCTCCAATGGAGTAATGAAGATTGTAATAATACCTCCTGAAGAACTTCTATTACCTGTCTCTTTGCCCGATGGCCAGTGGTGGATCTTTTTCTCTGGTCCCTCTACTACCCTTCCTATGTTGTTGGCCCAAGTACTGAGGACATAATTTCTATGAGGCATCAAGTCCTCTCTCCTGATCAGAGATAATTTTCCCTCTCTTATGACCACAAGACAGGGGACTTCAGGGCTGCCCACTCAGGTGACAGGTACAGGCCCTGAGCAAATTCATTTAGAGCTCATCAAAGAGGTAATAAGTTAGAAACAAAGAAAAAGAGGATGCACTGAAGTCCTCATACCATATTTATCCATGTACATAGAATGGCTGTAATCACCCAGTCATGCCCAAATATGGAATTAGAAGCCTGATCCTAGGAGATCTTTTTTTTTTAGAATCTTGTGAGGAATGTTTGCTGGCTTGATTCCTCTAATTATGTGGCTCCCCAGGGCAGTAAAGTTTTTCACTACTGGGGACAATATCCATTGTTTTTAATCAAAGCTACTAAAATGATGTTTTGCAGCCAGGGTTATACTGCAGAACTGAAATACAGATAAATGTCTGCATGTCTTAAGAATGCTTAAACACTAGAAGGACTTCTCTTGCTTCTCTGTTCATCCTTAGGAAAGGTCAGAGGGAAATGATCTTTTCTCTCTGCATCATGCCAGGCTTGTAATCTGCACAATAGAGAAGATGGGCTTACTGAAGAAGAAACGTGCCCAAGACTCTCTCCAGGGAAAATAGTCTCCTGCTAGGCTGTGTGTTAGATATATTCAGCAATGTGAAAATTTCTCCTGTGAGAAGACATAATTTGGCAGGAGTCTCATCCTACAGATGTGAAGGGATTTGTCTCATGCTCTCGTTCTTCCTTCAATCCTACTGACTCTTCCAGAAATTTTACTATAATTCCCTTCTTCTATGGCAAATGGATTGCTTTGCCCACAGGAGAGCATAGTGCTGTCCTCTTCCCACAGAGTACAGGTAGAGGAACATGTTACAGGCAAAGAATTGTCTAATATGCCTTGGATTTACTCAAAAGACTCACTCTATGATATTAGGAATGCCATATTTTGCTATTGGCACAGCAACAGCATAGGCCTTCTCTTAAGGTTCTTGAGATCAACCCGCCACTGACTGTTGTTTTGGTAACCAGAGAGTAGGAACAGAAATACAAATTTTAAAAAATAAACAATAATAAAACATTTTCCTGGTACTGCTTACCCGCTAAGTACACCGAGAACCAAGTTAAGTACAAAAAATGACCCTATGATGATTAGTGTAACAAAATAGATCCAGGGCCAGTCCCTTCCTATGGCATCATTGACCTGGAAGAGTGGAATGATAATTAGTGAGACAAGCTCAGATTCTGAGCACTGCAAGGCTCCAGCCAAAGAGATCCCAAGTCACCAGCAGTAAGATTTTTCAATAGCCAGTTTTCTGAAAATTTATGACAGGTTGACATTAGTGATTTTGAATGCCCTGAGGTTGAATTTCTTTGTCAGAGAATAACACCGCTTTTGTTACCTGTATTGTTATTTACAATATTTGAACATTTTGTCAAAGTATTTCAGAGCTGATGTGAAGCTTCCTTGAATTCACATTTTTAATCCCTCTGAAAGTATCCTGGTGACAGGGAAGAACCCTTATTATGGAGTCTTGCCCTGTAGCATTGGAAAAAGGACACCAAAACTGTCAGCTTACCCGCTCAACACACCAAGAACCAGATTTAGAACGAAAAAGGATCCAAAGATGACCAGACTGACAAAATACACCCATGGTAACTCATAGCCCATAGCGTCCTGCATCTGGAAAGACGAAGGAAAGTTAGAAGACAGAGAGGGAAAGCAGAAATGATTAGGCAAAGGAACAGATGGAAAGGTTTGTAAACAGAGCCTGTGGTTGGTTTACACATAATCATAGCAAGTGTTTCTGTATGTCCTTTCTTATGTGACCGCTCCTTTCATTGTTCTTTTGATCTGTTTCCTTACAGTCAGTGATTAATACAGGCTAAGATATAACCATGTACCTACTGTCCCTTTCTTTAGATGCTTAAAGCTGTGGATTGTTACTTTTTGGAGTTTACTTACAGCACCACAAAGGGTCCACCCATGACTTCTGAACTTCTACTCCCTGCACACACACACGACCCTCTGCTGCCAGTGAAAATATTGCTGGTTTTTGCTAAGTGTTGCCACAATGTGTTGCCAGATCATGTTCACTTCCCACGTGTAGCACAAGGACAGGTACCTCAGAGAGGAGCATGTGGGAACTGTGGCCAAATACTGACCTTTCCCCAGCAATGCTCTGGTAATTTTCCCAGTTTACCACAGTGAGGGCAGTAGCTTTATACTTTCGAGGAAGGTCATTTCAAGGCCCAATGTGCCCTGAGCTGGTCAAGTGTTTTCTAAAGCTTCCTCACAAACTTCCTTTCTCTGCTTGAAGGATGAATCACTTATCAAAATGTGATTCCTATGCAACTGAATAGTAAGAGAATTGGAGACTGCAAACTGAATGATCTCACACTATTACAAGCATCTGCAAACAGAGCAAGCAGACTATTGTTTTAGGACCAGAACCTCTATTATGTGTGGTTTAACTCCAGCACATAATAAGATCTTGTATATATTCTAAAAGCATCTAGTACATAAACACTATTTTATCTTGAAGTCTCCTTCAAAGTTCAAAATTTTGGAAAGTTGCTGGATACCTTAATAGAGTCTCACTTTCATGATGGTATCAAAAATACCAGAGTCTCTTCTTTACTGTTCATAAACACTTATCTTCGGAGCCAGACGTAGCATCATTAAAGAAACAGATGGTGGTTAACATTTTCAGGAGCACTAAATTGATTTGTGAACATAAATTGCAGACTTGAAAGTACCTAAAGGCGTAAAGCAACCTACATTCCTTTGTTTTCCACTCTTTTGAAAATTTTATTGTATGTTGTCTACTCTTTCCAGGAAAATGCTTTTTCCTTTGCAACCTACACGTTTGCTGGGATCACAGAAAAAATATTCTTCCATACATGGGCACTGAGACACACTTTGGGAGAGGGGATCTGACTCAAGATTTGTAACAACTCAGAAAAAGTATTTCAAACCTTCAGTAAGAGAAGGCAGGAGAGAACACTAATATAATCGGTTCTTTGTGGATGGAAGTCCATTATCCATTTTTCTTCCAAAGCAGAATCACTAAAGTCCTTGTCTGGCAATAGTCCACAGTCAATGGGCCGATCCAGAACTCCATCTCAAGGCTCCTTCAGCTGTGACTGAACTGAAGTAGACTCATTAAAAAATAAGCTTGAAATCTCCCTCTGTGAAAACAGTTCATCAGCTCCTTCCTCACAGGATGAATACATTTGGTGGTCAAAAGAGAGTACCTGAACCTCTAACACCCCCCAACCGTATTAAACAGCTTCTCTTTTATAGTTTTGTAGAATTTTTCAGTTAGTTTATAAATCATACTAATTATTCTTTGTGTTTGCAAGCCAGATTTCATCCCACACGACCAAAAAGTAGACACTTCTGGTGTATACTACACATCAGTGCTTTAATGAGAACAAAGCATCATGGTGTATAAAGATGGAAGGAAATATTCACCTGAGATCCCAGTGGGGAAATCAGGCAGGCAAAATGTAACTGCCCAAGCTGGAATTAGGTAAAGAAATGAGACTTAACAGCCTCTCTCTTCTAAAAGGACATCACTATCTATATAAAACGATCTGCACAAACAATGAGTATGGATGACTTTGAAAAACTGCCATAAGAATTTACCACTGTGGGCACACTGACGACTTGACATCCCTCTAATTATGATAGATGGTGATAAAAAAGCCTGAGCTGTATGGTATTTATCTATCAACAGTTTGGGATTTTTTTTGTCATGTGGGAAAGTCAGCTCGAAAAGTAGAACTTCTCAAAGCTGTGGTACAAGTGAATCCTAAACAGCAAAGGCCAGGGTGCCAGATACAGAGTTCAGGTGCATGTCAGGGTACTCAGGGAAGAACAAAGCTTCCCTGGCACAAAGAGATTTCCAGATGGCAAGAAGCTTCCACCATGGCCTGGTAAAGTATATACCTAGAATACAGTGTACCCTGGCTATTCCCAATGCCTGCACAATTGCATAATGATCGTACCAGCTTGCATCAGCACAAATGAGTCCTGAAAAATAGACCTGCATTCTGGTACAGCAGAGCATTTGGGACTTCTCAGAATGAAAATTTCGAAAGTCAGCTTTTCATCTCCTTTTTATTGCACAGTGATATACATAACAGAGAAGCTGAGGGCCAGAGACAGCAACAGCTTCTCAAGCATAGAGAAACCATCAGTATTTGGCAAACAGCTGAGTCCTTCTCTCTGTTGCTGGACTTGCCTATGTTTGGTGCTTTCTTGTCTCATTTCTTTAGTAGCAGGCAAGACTATTTCACGCATTGTGGGACTGACCCATAGGTGACAGGAATATATGTTATATATTGATATAACACTAGGTGTTTGGTAAATTAAGTTAAAACCTCTCTGTAATAAGGAAACAGTACACTGTGAACTTGCTACTTGCTCCTGAAAAACATCTGCAGGAGAAATGCAGAGAATTAGGTTGTTTGGTGAAAGTGAAAGTTGAGGGGGGAAGAAAAGTAATAGACTTATTTAAAACAGCAACATCTAAGTACCAACATTTAAGGAACATTAAATTCCTGGCTAAGACTGTATTCTTCCAAATATCTGAAAATGCTTCCTCCAAAACAGAAGTATCCTAAAAGTCCAGGATGGACTGTCCTCAATGATAACTGCATGGGAGCACTGTTCAGGAAGAGCCTTGCACCTGCATTTGAGTGAAGCTGTTTCCTGGAAACTCACCACCATTCTGCAAATCTGCAGCTATTACTGCTGCATGTTTGCATGCACATGTCCTTCTGATTACAGCTGCAGCCTTTCACTGCAAGCCTAACTTAGGTGGTAGAGCTGATTTCTCCTCATTATGCTGTTAAAGTGGAGAAGATGCAAAGGGTCACAGCAAGACCAGGGGTGTTACCATTTGCACACTACGGAGTGCAGAAAATGAGGGGTGCAGAATAGCTTTTGTACTGTTGCCTACAGTGAACAGGAAATGGTTCAGTTATAGGTTACCTTTCCAGGATGGACAACTCCTGATACACAATTCAGTTTTCTGGTCCCTGAGGGCACCACTTCTCCCAGAGTGTTTACTACTGACCCTATGAATCTCAACAAAAAAGGTGGATCATCTTCTAAAATCACAGTTCTGAACACAGACTATCAGCCAGGACAGGTCTGAATGATAATACTCCAGCTCCAGTAGTCAATGTGATTGCAATCTGTTGCCAACTTAAGCATGTATTGAACAATTTTTACGTCAGCTGGAAGCACAGGATCAGTGGGAATCTGAAGATTGTCATTTATAGAAATAATTCTGCTTTCTGAGTCAAACTGCCTGACCTTTCATAGCTCACATCTCAACACTCACGTGTCACTACTCTCAACAGTCAGGAAGTTGGCACATTTCAGAGCATTAATGCATCATCTCTCAGAGACCTCAGGGATAAAGATCTTAGATTCCTTCTCATGACTTGCTGCATACCCTCTCCAGCACTGTAGGGGCATCATTTGGCTCACTGTGCTTCAGCTTTCCAATCTGCAAAGTGGAATACTACCTTGCCTCACTGGGCACTGTCAAAGAAACCACTCAGCATCATGATGATGGGATATTTAAGCATATTTGAGGTCTGATGGACCTTGTGTACTGCAGAAGAGCTCTTTCTTCACCAGGCATCCCTAATTGCTATCATGCTTACAGGATTTCAACAAAGGCTTTTCTCCCAGTGATACAGGTAATCGCTTAGAAATAACAGTAGGATGTTTAATTCTGTAGTTTGCTGATCACAATTACTACCAGCAGTTTCAGTAGGGGCCAAGGAATAAAAATCTATTTATCTCTATAAACAGACCTTTGTGCCTATGTCTTCTGGTTCTTCAGAAGACACAGGAGAAGACACACTGGTAAGGCCACAGGAGATATGCATGCATTACTTGTTTAGTGGGTTTTTTTCTTTCCCAGGGATAATAGTCTGGCACATTTTGCAAGTATTTCATTCCTTACACAGGCATCATAGTTCAAAGACAATGTCAGAGGCATATTACCTATTAACACAGTGGCTGAGCATGACCAAGCACATAGTGGAGGGCTTTCAGTCACTTAATGGGAGGGGCAGACACAATTCACTCAATTCTGCTGACTTTACAAGACACACACTCACACCCTGACACTTTGTGGCAAATGTCTTTCAAAAATAACGGCGAGTTACAGGAAAAATGTAATCCATCATAGAAGGGCAGCTGTCACAGGAAAATAGCAAGCTGAAGAAAAAAATTAAATCTGTCTTGTTCAGTGCACAGCGCTGGAGAGCTGCAGCTTAACAGAAAGTGAGTTTGTTAGGACACCTGGGTTAGGTTTCTATTTCTTGAAAAAATTGCTAATTGATTTCTAATTACTATAGAGTTTTATCATAACCTTTTTTAAATGCAAGTGCTACAAGTATTCCATAATGAAGTGTAGTATTCTGTAATGAAGTGTATAACCTTTCACAGAGTAACACTCATCAAGAGGACCAGAGTATTCAATAAAATTAAAGGGCAGTAACTTTGGAAATTTTGTGTAGAAGTGCTATTTTATGTAGCCTATCTGTGGAATTCACTGCCTCAGGAAATGATCCAGCCAAAAGTAATGATCGTGGCCAGTAGCAAGATCTCTACTTGAAACCAAGGATTTCTTGTAACAATCTAAAACTGGAGAA